AAGTACTCGATGTCTTAAAGGAAGACTGAGCAACAAGAAAACCACCTACAAGGGCCTGACGAAGCAAGACAGAAGACGAACATTAAGGCAATTCAGCCCCAAAGGGCTTTAAGAACTGTCCATCATAGAGTCTCCTACTTGGTCCGTCAGATGTAATCAAAAGAGGAAAGCGTAGCGTCCAACTGTAAATAATTTGAACACTAAGCATGCGGTATGTCTTAAAATAGTAGGGTCATAACCCCTTTTAATATAACGTTTAATTAATTTAGTAAACACAACAGAAAAATTACAATGACCCAAGATCTTACGAAGTTTGTAAACAACATCCCCGTAAAAATCAGGCTGGCTAATCCCTTGTCGCAGAAGTGTTTTAAGATCACTATTGAATTTTGAAATTAAATCAAAGTTACGATTGTAAAATTTTGTAAAATATTTACGTAATTTATAATATCGGTAGCCCTAAGTGTCACATTGAAGGTTCCATGATAACCGCCATATGAGCACATCTGCGGATGTTTCAAAATTCAAAACTGTACCCGTTCATGTTATATGTTGAATTCTGCTTAAGCCGGTGCTAGGGGGCGTGGAAGGTAGTTTGCTCTTGACAGTACCGTCCATGAAAAGGCACAATCAAACCGAGCCTGCAACATTTGCAATTATGACGTGTTGTGCTTTATTTAGGTATTCTTACTTTCTTTATTTTATCGCCACATCAGCGTTGTTTGTGCCGTGTTGAGGCTGTAAAAAGTCGACCTGTACATACAATCAGAGATGTTATTTTTCCGATCCTTAAAGATTGTTCAGCACGACATTATTGTTGTGTTTGTGGTATTTTTAGTTTTAAATATTTGGCATTTACTAGTTGGGTGGTTCCAATATTTTTACTTGAATAATGTTGAATCACCCTTAGGATATGTTGCCTGTTTTTTAACTTTATCTTTTGACGTCTTATCTGTGATATGCAGGCTTCATAACCTCTGATCCCCTTTTGTTTAGTTCCGCCCATTGTTTCCTCCTTGAGGGCACACGCTTTTTATTACTTGGGGAACATACGCCGCTTTTCATGGAATGGCACTACTGTGTCACATTGAAGGTTCCATGATAACCGCCATATGAGCACATCTGCGGATGTTTCAAAATTCAAAACTGTACCCGTTCATGTTATATGTTGAATTCTGCTTAAGCCGGTGCTAGGGGGCGTGGAAGGTAGTTTGCTCTTGACATTACCGTCCATGAACAGGCACAATCAAACCGAGCCTGCAACATTTTAAATTATGACGTGTTGTGCTTTATTTAGGTATTCTTACTTTCTTTATTTTATCGCCACATCAGCGTTGTTTGTGCCGTGTGGAGGCTGTAAAAAGTCGACCTGTACATACAATCAGAGATGTTATTTTTCCGATCCTTAAAGATTGTTCAGCACGACATTATTGTTGTGTGTGTGGTATTTTTAGTTTTAAATATTTGGCATTTTCTAGTTGGGTGGTTCCAATATTTTTACTTGAATAATGTTGAATCACCCTTAGGATATGTTGCCTGTTTTTTAACTTTATCTTTTGACGTCTTATCTGTGATATGCAGGCTTCATAACCTCTGATCCCCTTTTGTTTAGTTCCGCCCATTGTTTCCTCCTTGAGGGCACACGCTTTTTATTACTTGGGGAACATACGCCGCTTTTCATGGAATGGCACTACTGTGTCACATTGAAGGTTCCATGAAAAAAACCGCCGTAAGAACACATATGCGGATGTTTCTTTATTCAAAATTTTACCATTTCCTGTTTAAATTTTGAATTTCTGCTTAAGCTGGTGCTACTTGAGGCATGGACAGTAGTTTGCACTTTCCAGTACCGTCCATGATCAGGCTCAATCAAACCGAGCCTGCAACATTTTCAATTATGACATGTTGGGCTTTTTTTTAGGGATTCTTACTTTCTCTATTTTATCTGTGATATGCAGGCTCCATAACCTCTGATCCCCTTTCAAAATTCTATTTTATTGAGTTCCGCCCATTGATTTTTCGTTTCAGGCGCACGCTTTTTTTTACCTTGGGACCATATGCCGCTTTTCGTGGAATGGCACTACCGTGTCACATTGAAGGTTCCATGATAACTGCCATATGAGCACATCTGCGGTTGTTTCAAAATTGTACCCGTTCATGTTATATGTTGAATTCTGCTTAAGCCGGTGCTAGGGGGGGCATGGACGGTACTTTGCACTTGACAGTACCGTCCATGAACAGGCTCAATCAAACCGAGTCTGCAACATTTTCAATTTTGCCGTGGTGTGCTTTCTTTAGGGATACTTATATTCTCTATTTCAATGCTTAGTGTTAGTTCAAATAGGAATATTTCCTATGATTACGAATAATTACATAAAGTATTGATTGATCGTTATTATTTTTGTACTGTATAATGATCGTATATTTTGTTTTTTCAATATTTCAATTTGAAACCAATTTCTACAATACTTTGATATTACTGATATCAAAGATATGGCTGATAGACCTGTATGGCCACGCCAGGGGGCATGCTGTCCAGTGCCAAGCTGTGGGACAGATACCTTCTTCACCAAATATAATGAGTTTTCAAAACATTGGTCAAACAGGCATGTCTTCATGAGGACTGTCTTTGTCTGTGTTACATGTAGAAAGGTATCACTAAGGAAATACGATGCTAAGAGACACAATTCCTCAACCGGGAAATCTCGCGTTTGCCTGGAGAGGAGGGCGGTCAACCCGACGTATCAAGATCCAGACAATGCCAGGAAGTTTGTATATCCTGACCTGCAAGACGATTGACAGTCATAATATGCTTTGCCTCAGTCATACTTTATATAATTATGTGATATTGTTTATTTTACATTTGTAACTATTTTTGGTTGTGAATTAAAGGATTCGATGTATAATCCTTGTTATTTTGTTTGATAAAATAGATTTATTGATAATCATACATTTCAGGCTCACACTTATTTTGTTCGTTAATAATTTTTCTGATTACAATTCTGAACAAATTAAATCTTCTTTAATAGAACTTAGATTGCTTGAAATAAATTTTTGTTGTTTACCTCTTCCTGTACATTGTTGTAATTTTGATTTAATAGGTAGATACTTTTGGAGTAATGTAACCTTCTTTCTAATTAATAGTAAGCTACGATAATAATTAAATTCCGCCTTTAAATTTTTGTGGATATTCCTTTTGTTTGAACCCACAAGTCTTTTAATTTAAGGAAGAAGGAATGTAATAGGACTGTATTTTGATGAAATATTTAGTTGTAAAACTCATACCATTCATTTGTCGTCCATTTTTGCTTCTCTACCTAACGTAAATCTGTTAAATTCTTCTTGATTGGCTCTTTCGATTTAGATTTACATTTTTATTGTTCCACTTGATTGATATGAGTTATTTTGATCAATCAATCTTATAGTTAGCATTGTCATGACTAACAAAAGTGTATATAAATACCGGGTGAATTTCTATATTTCTTGTCTTATGAAATGACCCACAGGTCAGTTCACTCAAAAGCTTTAGGGCTTTGACTCTTTTTCAAAACTTCCCTTTTTTGTTTGGGGTCCGTCTGGGCTCCTTGCCACTGGTTCTTGTGGCTGGGTCTTATCGGGGTTGCGCTCTTTGAACCCGCCTTTCCTTGTTGGTCTTGTTTTTCATATTTTATTGTTTATTGTTGACTTATTTAAATTTGAATGATTTATGAATTTAGGCTATACTTAATAATAAAATAGAGAAAAACAGAATCACTAAAGAAAGTCCGACACAACAAAATTGAAAATGTTGCAGGCTCGGTTTGATTTAGCCTGTTCATGGACGGTACTGGAAAGTGCAAACTACCGTCCACGCCCCTAGCACAGGCTTAAGCAGAATTCAACATTTAACGCAAAAAAGGTGAAATTTTGAATTTTGAAACATCCGCAGATGTGTTCATACGGCGGTTATCATGGAGCCTTCAATGTGACACAGTAGTGCCATTCCATGAAAAGCGGCGTATGGTCCTCAAGTAAAAGAATGCTTTTGCCCTAAACGAGAAAACAATGGGAGGAACTTTTAAAAATGGAATTTTGAAAGGGGATCTGAGGTTATGAAGCCTGCATATCACAGATAAGAAGTCAGAAGACAAATTTATAAAGCAGGCAACTTATCCTAAGGTTAATTATACAGTATTCAAGTAGGAAAACTGGAACCATTCAAGTTGAAAATGGCCAAATAGAAGAAACTAAAAGTACCACATAACATGCACACACAACAATAATGTTGTGCCGAACGATCTCCGAGGATCGAAAATATAAATAGATTTTTTACAGCCGCCACACGGCACAAATAACATTGGAAAAACTTGGAAGTTCTTTTTGAATAAATAAGTCGTTATTGGTAGATTCTGGTTTAAAATATAATCTTATTTATACTTTTGATAAATAAATTTTATGGTTATCATTTAAATAAATCTCATAGTGTTAAATTTATAAAGTCTAAAGTTGTATTTTCTTATATAAAAGTAACTTGAAAGTAGCGTCAAAACACCACCATCCTAGCCACTGGTTGGCAATTAGAGTTCAGAGAACCTGGGTAAAGTGCCGTTTTAAGATATCTATATGATCACGTATTGTCCGTATAATAATTTGGCAATTTTCAAGAGCACCACTGAGTGTTGGGCTCGATTCAACTTGAACCACTATTAATAAACCGGCACTATATCATAGTTAATGTATCACGATGATTATAAAAATATGAAAACAAATAAAAAGGCTATAAATTTGTAACACAATCTCTAATTTTGTTGAATTAGAAGCTTTCTAAAGATGCGTTCAAATGTATGTTTTTAAAGTAACATTTGCTGTTAAGTGCATTATTCAAATGGTTTTAGTCAAATTACTATTGCAGTAATGTTTGTTTAGCGAAGTGCCGAAAATAGGTTTCAAAATCATATAGCTTAGATTAGTATTCAAATATGTTTTGTAACTAAACTGAGATATTAATAAGGTTTGACATATGTTGTTGAAATTTCCTTTTCTTTACAGGGAATGGTTGGAAGTTGTAGTTCAAGGCCGTGCCAAGCGCACAAAATGTGCCATCAATCGGGTAAAAGTTCATACGTGTGTGAAGATATAAGTTTATTAAGTATGTTAACTTGTTCCTACTTGTTTATGTAGTAATTTATAGAGGATATTAAATGAGTGTAAATTCAATATGGCCAGCATAATATTATCTTATTCAACGAGTTCAATAAATTCAGTAATGAATTTACACGCATATAATATTCTTTTTGTCAAATAACCATCATAAGAACTGCTTACTGAGAAAATTATCCTTTTTTGTAAATGGAACGCTAATGTTAATGCGTCTTTACGCTATGTTGTATAACGCAAATGACGTCAATTCAGAATATATGCACGGCCGTGCAATACCGGTGTTAGTCGCAAAAGCAAGGGGTATGTGGTTATAAGTTTGTATGTCTTGCTGGTTTATTTTTATCTTGCCGTAAAATATCACCCCTACAAAACGCTTTCACAGTTCACCTTTTGGTGATCTGTTAAGATGAGAGTCCTCGAACCTCCTTTGGTAGAGCCCTCGACCAAAACAAAAAACTACAACTAAAGTGCACAGAGTTCTCATTTAAACACATCACATAAATTGTAAAAGAGCTAACGTTGGGGTGATAATGCACATAGAGGTGATAATGATGCACACACACTCATACACAAATACATATACGTATTAATCATATAGCATCTTGTTTATGTACAAATCTGCTGTTTAATTTCATCGTTTGTCTTTTTTTTTTCAAAATAAAATACCACACTATTGTTTGTTTGGTAATACTTTGCAATATTTGCTCCGATGTGGACAAAAAATACATTTAATGCCACACTTTGTCTAGAAGTTCACATAACTGTTACATCTGAGACAGTGAATATTAAGAATTAGAAATTGTTAAGTTAAAATATGTTTTTTTCTTTTTCCAGCTTGTAATATTGATCAGCAAATTGAAAATGGTAAAATACTGACTAATGCGCCGGACGAAAACAAGTTCCTTGATAAAGCAATGTTTCAGTGTGACAATGGATATATTGCAAGTCAACATGAGGTGAAATGTAAAGCTTCGGGTGAATGGCAGGCTGCAACGTGTACGGAAATGGAAAGATGTAACTTATTTATTTTGTTTTCTTGAGTATATCATATCTTAAGTTAAGTACTAATGGAAGGTGATTTTAGAATTATATATAAAAACAAGTTCATAGATTTGTTTTATTGTTTTAAGAGGTCCGAATGATTTCATTCAAGACAGTGTCTTGATCAAATCCCGCACGATAACTTTTTTCTGCTACACCATTATACCATCAGGGGAGGTGGCAGTCTTTTTTTTCTCCGAGTCGATAGACACAGAATTGGTTCTTGCTTTGAACACCTGTATTGCTGAAAATTCCCACAAAACTTCTAACAATTGATTTTGAGTAGTTGGATGTAAAGTCCTTTATGACTTGGGACTGTGTAACTGGAACTGGCGATATATGATGTCGCCTTCCAAAATATGATTTCCGCATTTTTTATTGTTTATATGAATGACATATAATGATAGTAACTACAAGTTATAGTGCGTTCTGATGTAATAAGTGAGTGTAACATTTCTTGTTCAAGGAAACAACGAAATTTGAGAAGAGGTTTGTAAGTAAAAAGTTTGGTCTGTCAGAGCATATAGCTCTAAATGATTGCCTTAATATAAATTGGAATTCTTAGACGACATATTTTCTGTCAGTTATGCTTAATCAGATATTGTCAACGACTTTTTAAATAGAGGTCTGTGATATTGTCAAGAAAAGCTTAATTGTGCATAAACTTCTACATAGTAGGACGGTATGAATTTTGACTTCACTCTTTTACCTCTAGAGAAATTGCTAAGCCGAAATATTTTTATAGAAATAAACAGAAATACGTTGGTTTAAATATGACTGTTTATTGAAAAGATTTGTACTGTGCTCCTCTTAGTTCACGGTACTAATTGCTTTGAAGCAAGTGAGAAAATGGAAAATGAAATTTAAGGTACCAAAATTGTCAAAAGCTGTAACAAATTTGGAATTTCTGCTGTATGACACGAGGAAGCAATATATTCAGTCAAAGCTAGATTTAATAGGCCAGACATAGACCATATGTCGGCCATTTTGAAAACGTTATGTAATCATTTACATCGCGATAAATGGTTGTACAATAATATTTTTCATGTTTGAGTTAAAATTTCTCTCAACTTTAAAGGGACTCCACTAAGGTTTAAAAGCCTAAAAACATAACATTAGAATTTCTTACATAAATGAGCCGGGGCACTTTAAACAGAAATATATGCAAAGATAGATGAGAAATATACTTTGAAATAAATTGAAAATCGTATTTATGTTTTTCTTAGCCCTATTTGAGTGAAAAGCGTTTAAACGCTTTTTATTTTGGGTCATATTTTCACAACTTGAATAATTATTTTGGAAAAACGAAGTGCACGAATGATCTGAAATTTTGAACATAGATTAGTGGTCTAAACCTACATCAAATGGTTCATTGATCAGGAAATAATATGTTCAGTCCTATCATGTCAAAAAACCTCAATGAAGTCCCTTTAAAAAATTAAAATTATCTTAACTTTGTAACTAAAAACATATTTTTTACAACAAACAATAACAGTTAGAAAATGATTGCAGACGTTTGTACAGATTTTATCGGCCCTTGTTGCTTTTTGCACAAATTCGTAAAATTTTGTTTTGTTTTACGTAAAAATTCTGGAAATTTAAAAATATTTTGCCCCCCCCACCACCCTCCAAAAAAAAAAAATTGTGATCAAGGTAATTGAAATAAATTGACAATTCTGATCAATTTTAACCGTGAAATAGGCTATGACGCGAAATTATTGATGTTGATGTATATAAGTTCGCCTCTTCATGCAATGATGTACAATGTATATAATAAGAAGTTTATTTTGAATTTCTTAGTAAGTGACTGCAAAGAAATTCTCGATAAGTACCCTACAGCAAGGAATGGGCTGTATGAGATAGAACTGTGGAAATCAGGACAGATTTTGACTGTAAACTGTGACATGGAAACTGCAGATGGTGGCTGGACGGTAACTATGACGACAAGTTTATATATATCAATATGAATCGTAACAATTTTGTTTCCAATCAAAATGTAATAAGTAATGATGTGCAGGATTGGAAAAGTAATAAGTATTTCATTGAAATAATAATTAGTGTCTAGACTGGAAAGGTAATTAATGTACAGGGTGAAATTGTTATTAGTTTTTAGAATGATATAGTTATTTGCGTCTATAGTAAAAAAATAATGAGTGTCAAGAGTGAAATAGTTATTAGTGTATAGAGTGAAATAGTAATAAATATCCAGCGTGAAATAGTTATCAATTTTAAATTTACAAAACGTATTTTTACAGAATAGTTTTGTGCAGAATAGCACTAATGTACATTTTCTCGAGAATAATAAGGTGCTTTATTACACCCGAATGACTCGACAACAAAGTAACTAAATGACGGCTCAAAGAAATGGTTATTACAGTAAAACAAGTTGTTGTCTTTGAAAGTCTTCGTATTGTAATTGATATCTTGCCTCCCGAATTTTATCAAAATATTTGTGAGCATGGTTTTAATTTATAAAATTAAATTTTGCTTATTGTATTTGAAGTAAAATGGTTTAAACATAACATTATATCTTAAACCTCATAACTTGTTTTAAAGCTATTTTGATATTGCCAGCATAATGCAATATTTTATTGAACTATTTGCAGGTATTTCATAGACGTATGGATGGATCTGTTGATTTTTATCGTAACTTTATAGCTTATGAAAATGGGTTTGGGAATGCTGAAGGAGAACTATGGCTCGGTATGTCAAATACTACAAAATTTAATTACACTATAACTACCGTAAAATATTTGAGGGTAAAATTTTGTTAGAAAATAAAAACTAATGAAATTTACATGTCACGCTAGTAAATCACTTTCTTACTTTGCCATTGTTTCTTTGACGATAAATATAGAGGCTTGTGTCACCAAACACAGAATGATAATTCATGAAATTTTTGATAAAAGCCTTGTCATAAATTTATGGCGTTGTCCAGTGTTTTTGTAAAGACGCATTATGCCCTAGAAATAAATAATTACTTTTGTTCATTACAAAGTCAAATATGTGTAAAAAGAAATGTTCTTTGACACAGATTTAAAGCAAGTTAGATACTAATCATTAATAGTTATTAGCGCTGGATGTGAGAAAAACTTAAATTAAGGAATCATAAGTGATATTTTGGCTTGCATTGTCATGACTGTAGTAAGTTTAAAAAAAAAAGATAGTCCAGCTGTAAAGCCATTGACTACTTTGTCGAAGATTTTAACAGGAAACCAATTTTGGCGACTTTCAAGCTTTACTGTTAGAAGAATACCTAGTTTGACAAATGTCTTAGGTATACAGAATATAAAAAAGAAATGTTTTAAATGTGTTAAATGTACATATTTATTTGACGAAATACAAAAGTCACCTTCAAAACGGTTATCAGATTGTCTTGCTCAAGAATGATTTAAAAAGTTAATAAATTCCAGAAAAGCAATGTAATGCTGGTTAAGGTATAATGTTGAAGCAGACGTATGAGCTAATTCATTTCTTTTATCTTAATTGAGAATCAATTATTATGGTTCGTTTACTTACTATGCTCTTCGTTTTGGCAATAGCGTTCCGCAGATTCGGCGTTACTTTTACGTTATTTGCACATTCCTGCGTTACTGGATATGCTTGGTGTTAAAAGTCAACTTAAGTGCATTGTTTCTTTGAAATCTTTTATGCCCCCGAAGGGTGGCATATTAATATCGAACCAACCGTCTGTCTGTCTGTCTGTCAGCCCGGGCTAACATCCAATGGTCTATCAGCTTCATTCCGTTCATAATTTTAGTTAAGAAAGGAGGAAATCCCTTAAACCGACCGGTTTATGCGGTGCATTTTACTGGTTTATGTGAGAAAATGCCACATAAAGATCAAAGAAAAAGCACATAAACCCCAAATGTTGGCATGTCTGTCCGTCCGTCAGTCAGCCCGACTTTATATATGTAGACAGTAGTGGTCGTGTCCACTCTGAAAACTTCAGTATGCATGAAAGGATTTTTCTTTCACATATGAAATTGATATAGATGTATGGTGCGTCGCGAACAAGACCTGGGTTTCTTTGACTAAAGTTAAGGTCACTCTGGGGGTTCAAACTTTGCCATTAGCTCTTGTTTGTAAATGCTTTCATATCAGTATGATATGTTTCTAAAGGAAATTAGCAACCAACATATCGATAAACTTTAATAAGACTTTTCACATATCACTTTATTAAACTATATTGTATTTGCTAATATTTATAAATAAAAACACCATTACCATAATATATTATGCTCTTTCACCACTCTTACACCCGATTGTGGATTATGTTTACATTACAATATAATAATTTCAGGAATACATTTGAAGGTTTTCATTTGTTCATTCATTCATTTATTCATTCATTCATTCATTCATTCATTCATTCATTCATTCATTCATTCATTCATTCATTCATTCATTCAATCAATCAATCATATGGCCATATCCTAGCGTTATTGAAGAAAGGAACCCTAAGGTGCCCTTCCATACATTATCTAAGGTTATATTGGGTAATGAATGGTTTTAGCGAAAGTCAAAAATATATAGTTTTTAGTTGTTCATTCTATGTCAGGGAAAATTCAAAATATAAAATTATCTGAAAGTCATTCCCGATTGTAAATGTTTGGTTTGCTATTTGCTAAATATCGCTTTGTTATATCAAATGCTTTAATCATAGACTCTGTTAAGAGATGTCTTTTTCCTCTGTGTTCGGAGATATCTCTTGATCATAATTAATAAGTTTTGCTGGTTGTGTTTACGCAGGTCTGAAGTATATTCAAGAATTAGCCGAACAAGGTACTTCAGAACTTTGTCTTGACATGACAAATGCGAAAAATGAAAGAGGAAGTGAGACTTATCAAGACTTTAAGTTAACGGATGGAACAAAATATACCCTCAATATTGGGTCACGTAACGCATTTCCAGGTAAAAAAGAATGAAAGTGAAATAATAAATTTGATCACCTCAGCAGTATGAAAGACACATTAAAAAACGAATTTATGAATTTAAATAATTGCTTTATTATTTTGTTCTTGAAGTAATTGTATTTGTAATTTACATCTTTAAAGAATTCAGCAATATCACGCAAGGGGTGTGGTAACAGTATATAAATAACACATGGGTTTGTGGGTAATAGTAAAATATCATCCTAAATGTTTTTTACAAGGGATGACTATTACTCACAAACCCATAATATGCTATTAATTTTATTACTCCGAAAAATATATGTAATGATCGGAAATTGTAAACTAAGTCAAAGTGAGGCTGATCGGAAATTGTTAACTAAGTCAAAATGAGGCTGAATCGAGAAAGAAGGGTGGCCATTTTATTTCATTTTATTCAGAAACTATGCCGCGTGACTAGATTTTATACTGATAGAACTTCTGTTACACTATAACAGTACAATTTCTTAGTCACGTGGTACACTTGCATTTATAGTATAAATAACTCCCAGCGACCTATAGGGAATTAGCATTACACAAAAATTGAAGGGTAATAATATAAAGATAAAATCTATTCAGGATATAAGGAGATATGTCATTATCAATATTAATACCCGGGTTCTAGAATATCTGTTGTAAAAAAACTTATTATCTATTGCAGATATGGACCAAGAATACAGCTTAAATTATCACAAAAATGGGCAATTTTCAACTTTTGACCGTGACCTTGATACAACCGGAAGTCGTAATTGTGCTAAAGCCCGGTACGGGGGCTGGTGGTTCAAGAACTGTGGTTACGTTAATCTCAACGGACGTTATGTGACACCAGGTACACTATGCAACATCGAAGGTGCAGAACCCAACCGATGTGGACATTTGCATAACGGATTTGATGGCAATTTAGGATTGAGAAAGTCATCAATGATGCTGAGAAGGACATAAACAATTTGATGTAAATAATTAAAATCAGATCTAAATTGAATGATCTGCTAAGCACGATCAGATATACAATTTCAACCGCTTATAACGAACTATTATCTGTTAATGAACTGAAGCACATACCAGCAGACAAATTTTAGAATGAATTAATTATATACCCCTTGTCCTTGTCTATGTTTTTAATGAACAACATTACGGTCTTAAAACTCGAAAGGTAACTTTAAATGAACAAAAAAATAACCTAGTCAAATTTAAGATTTAACAAAACGTGTTTCTATGTTAAGTAGTAAGTGTGAGGAAATGGACTGATCGAGGCTCTGTGAGATTTGTTTATTCTCTTACATAATATACTGTGTGTTCTCCATTTTCTTAATTACTGACAGTTGTGTTAATATTCATGCACAACAAGCATTGACTGAAGCACACTTACATTTTTACTTTTTGGGCACCTTTACTTCAAAGGCCCATTTCCATGTCACAACAGGACTTTTATCTTCCTTTCAGATGTTAAAAGCTTTATATGTTTAGTGTTCTGCTATATTGTCCAAAGTTACTCATTGGCTGATTACCTGAACCATATTTGGCTTGTGTTGCATTTTGGCAGTTTGTACAGTTTAAATGATGAATTGTTTTGTATGCAAGTCAAAGTAGTTTAAATTTTGCTACCTTTATGACATACAGTGTTACTTTTGTTCAGGTAATATGCATATAAAATTATCTAAAACTATTAATTAATCATTATAAAATTCCTGGTTTCCTTTTCTAACGAAATAAATATCTATCAATTCCTGAGGCAAAGTATGCCTATTATGAAAAGTAAGTAGGTAAGAAACACGTTCCCATGAATTAAACGGTCTTTTTATATACTGGTATATGTTCACAGATATTTAAACATCACTTTTGACAATTGACATTAGAAAAAAAAGAAACATGCATGGTTATATTTTTTTTTCTTACCAATCATTATGAATTCTTTGTTACATTGTTCATTGTTTGTCAATTAAGAAATTTCTGTTACGTGTAATATATTATTCTTAGTAGGATTGTATGAACAAATAAAGGGGCGTCCGTGGCCGATTCGTTAAGGTCGTTGACTT